AACGTTGCTCGCATCATCAAAGCTTGCATAAAATTAACAAAGCTGACTGACTCCCAGCAGAACACAGGATTTGGCGGGAGAGAGCCAGTCGCTTCTTTGTCGGCTCCTCTCTTTTGGACCTCCACCAAAGCATATCTGTGATTGTCGACATACACCGGTGAAGGTCCGAATGTGCAAGAATGTAATAAAATATTCGATCTTTCACCGACGTATTTGGTATGTGTTGACATTCACCGGTGAAAGTCGACATTCTCCAATTTCGGTCTTTCACGGTAACATATACACGTCGAACGCACTTAACTGGTTAAATTATATTATCAAATTCTGTCAAATATTATACGTACTTAAATGTTGACTATTATTTATTATTATTGACAACAAGTTATTATCAATTAGAATCATTAGGGAGTGATTTATGTAAGGGTCATTCCACGCTAAATCGATCACTTTTGGAAATCACCATCTCCGATTTTGTTTTAATCGAAATATGATGTAGTCCATGTGAAATTAGGGGGGGTTTAAGTCATCATTTTGCCGGTTTTGAATTTGTTAAGGAATAGCAAGCCTCCAAAGTTTGCAATTTTTGCCCATTTTGGTGAAAATAGGGTTCACTTAGGAATTTTTTTCTCAGAAACTACTTAACCGATTTAGGTAAATTTTTTTTCGTTTTATTCATGAGGAATTGGGCTATTTTACAATATTTTTTCTAATTCCGTCAATTTGTTACAAAATGTCGGAGAATTTAAGCAAATTCTTTTTTTGCGTTTTTCTCAATGAGGGGCATAATGGGTTAAAATTTATAAAAAATATGGTTCTATTCTTTGATGCTTCCCCTTCAAAATGAGCTCTTCAGAACAATGGAGCCCCAAAAATTGATGCCTCTACATGCTGTAAAAGGACGCGGGGTATCCCGGGATCAGGTAGGTGAGTCGTGTGTAGCTGAGTTGTGTGGTTCGCTATTATGATCGGTTTTTTTATACCACCGGTCTCAAAACAATACGACAAGACTTCGTATACGACTAAATGACCCTGTTCATACCTAGCAAAGTATATTAATAACCACTCTTGGTCAATGATACACTTATAGTTAGGATAGATTTAATCCTAAAGTGATATAAGCGTGAACTATTTGTTTGGTTATCCGTTTGAAAATAATAAAAGACTAAACGTCATTAGGTTGTAGAAAACATGTCTCACGAGATAGCTACGCAATATGAAAGCAAAAAAGGTTTTATTCATTCAACTTTTCAGTTAAATGATTTCGGTGTTTTTACAAAATGGCATTCTTGTACAACTACTCATGATAAAGGGGCCATGCTATGTTATTGAAGGGAGCACTAAAAAACTTGCAATGTACGTTAGCTTACAAAGATTGTTAGAAAAAAATTCATTTCTCACTAAAGATTTATTTGAATGAGCAGAATCATCTTTTTCGAACATAGTATTTAATTGTGCAACACGAATTGAATATATTAAATATACCGATTATTTATAAGCTCCTTTGGCAACAGCATTATCAATAACAGGGTCTAAAAATTTTCACAGCTTTGCTTCATTATCAAATAAAGAAAATAAAGTAGGACTTACTCGTACGATAATGGTGGCTCTGTACTTAGTGTATGAATTAACTGACATTATATTTTTTCCAACAACACACAATGCTTTACATACTTTTGATCACAACCCACTATTACCCCATGGCGATAGAAAGAAATCACCACTTCTTCACGGATTCCATTAAGTAGTAATGCCTTTTTTAAAATATAAACAATAAATATAGGAACTAATATCTATGAATAAAGTTACACAAAAAAATGTGTGATTCGTCAAAAGTAAGTACTAATATACTTTGCTAGGTATGAACAGGGTCATTTAGTCGTATACGAAGTCTTCTTGTATAGTTTTGAGGCCAGTGATATAAAATAACCGATCATAATAGCGGACCTACCTGAAACCGGTATACCCCGCGTCCTTTTACAGCTTGTAGAGGCGTCACTTTTTGAGGCTCCATTGTTCTGAAGAGCTCATTTTAAAGGAGAAGCATCAAAGAATATAACCATATTTTTTATAAATTTTAACTCTTTATGCCCCTCATTGAGAAAAACGCAAAAAAAGAATTTGTTTAAATTTTCCGACATTTTGTAACAAATTGACGGAATTAGAAAAAATATTGTAAAATAGCCCAATTCCTCATGAATAAAACGAAAAAAAATTTACCTAAATCGGTTAAGTAGTTTCTGAGAAAAAAATTCCTAAGTGAACCCTATTTTC